ATAAAGACAACAGATGCTGAAAAATGGCGACTAAATGAAGTAAAGACATTGTGTGAATACATTTTTATTAGTGCTCTGTGTAAGACTATAAATATAAAGCAGTACTGCAAGTCTCCTCTGCTGGAATGCATAAAAACGTGATTTTGTCTGGTACAACGGTAAAATAATCATCATCTTTGATGTTGTACTCCAAACAAGAAAAACTTTAATGTTCATTACATTTATGTCAAGTTTTCATGAAACCATGCAGAGTTGAATCACTCATCGCTCTGTGTCATCTCTCTAAGGCACTCCTTCAGGTTATCCACCCTTTCAGGTGGAGCCTTCTGTATGGTCTGCTCCAGCAGCCGCCGTGCTTGATCCAGTCCTCCCACCTTAGGGGCGTTCTGGCGGAAGAGGTAGCCACAGAGCTGATTGTCATGGCAGTCTGGGGAAAGCAGGCCACACAGAAAGCGCAGGAACATGTCAAAGTGACCCAGTGGGTGGTTAAAGGTTCGCACCAACGCACACTGGATCAGGCCTGCGATGGACCTGGTTTGTTCTTTGGATGCAAAGATCTTGGGCATGTGCAAGATCCCAGAGTCCAGGACGTTCTTCTCCTCTGTGCGAAACATTGCGAAGACATACAAAGCAGCCATGAACTCCTGCAAGAAGGAAGATAGAGCTTCTTAAAGCGTGATCTCTACAACATACAAGTTTTTCACATTTTTTTGTATGTCACAAGAAACAAACAGTTGATTACAGTGGCTCCTCGTTTATCGCGGATGTTACGTTCTAAGAGTAACCCGCGATAGGTGAAATCCATGAAGTAGCCAGCTTTATTTTTTACAATTATTATAGATGTTTGAAGGCTGTAAAACCCCTCACTACACACTTTACACACTCAGACAGACACAAACATTTTCACACTTTTCTCTCTTGTTTAAACACTCACAGTTCAAACCTTGGTAGGAAAATAAGTCCAGTATTATAGAATGAAATCAAACACACCCGCGGCTGCCTTTCAGGGTGCAAAACGTTTCATCGACAGTGTTTGTTGGAGCAAACCTACAAACATACAGTGCAGCACTTCAGAGTCACACTGCTAGCGATCAAAGATTTATATAAATTTGACAAGCTGACCACATTCTGTACTGTACAGGAGACACGGCACGAGATCGATTAACAATGGCCTGCAGCCAATCAGGACGCAGAACACAATGCGCTGTAAAAACTAAAAAATGCAAAATTGCACAAAAAAATCAGTGAAACAGCGAGGCCGTGAAAGCTGAACCGTGTTATAGCGAGGGCCTGCTGTACTCAAAGTGGACCTGCTGCTTTTCCTTATGTTCTGTGTCCTGTTCCAGAGGCTCGACCAGTATATGTGCAACTAATCCCTGGATGTCAAAAGCTATTCTTGGATCTGCATGATGTCAGTGAAAGTGGACATCCTTGATATGGTTCTCTCAGTACAAAGCTCACATACTGTTCGAACCTTCTGTCTGTGAAGAACAGCCAATCAGAAAAGTTGGAATGTTTCATTTATGAAAGGATTCCCTGTCCGGTCCTTGTTATTCCGAACTCCAGATCATACAAAACTGCTCCACTAAAGACCAGAAATAAAATATGGACACGTTCCATTTCATTTCACACTCTTTCCTCCCTTTTTTTAAAAATCACATACAAATACTGTTTCTGTGGTGGGTGGGTTGATCCCTGGCTGCTCCAGGCTGCATCCCAAATGCCTCGGGAAAGATGCTAACCCCCAAGTTCAGATCTAATGCTCTGCTAACCACTCCCTGCAAATATGATATAAATAGAAATTAAATAGAAAATAAAAATCTACACACGGATGCTAGGGTAGCTGAAACAGAGGGAGAGATGGGAAAGTCTGCAGCTTCAACAGACCCCTACATGTGAAGTGTATGTTTGATATATACTAGAAGGCGCGTTAGTGTGTAAGATGCAATGCAGCTTGAGTTGTGCTAGCTTCACTACCTTTATGGAGTCTAAGGCTACGTTCACACTGCAGGTCTTAACCTCTTAAGCCCCAAGCCTAACTGATCTCCTGCCTTTTGCCCCCGTATCAGGGGGCGTTGGGGCTTAAGAGGTTAATGCTCAATTCCCATTTTTTGATCAAATCTGTCTGGTTGTTCACATTACAAATAAAATGTGACAGCAAACATGCTCTACTGTGAATGGTTCACGGCCCTCAAAGCAGCCCGCATGCGCAAAAGAAGACGTCACACACAATATGTCTGTGAAGGTTCTCAGTCATCCAGGTCATCGTTGTCTAAGGAGCTTGGAAAGAAAAGCGTCTGGACTTCTTTGAGTTGCTTGAAGAC